GGCGACGACGCCGAAATAAAGTAGTCGGAGCTCTAGACACCCTGTGCAAGAGAATAAAAAACGGCACTAGCTCGCAGGACCTCACAATATCTCACAAGACGACAAAGCACAAGAAATCCAGACGGAAACGGCACGACCCCAGGGGTCCTCACGGAACTTCGCAGGGCCCCTCAGGACCCTACGAAATTCAATCGGCCCCCACAGGACCCTTCCAATCCCACCAGACCCCAGACGACATCACCCGACTTCCCCGACCCACGCGACCCTTCCGCAAACCATCCGAAGCCGCAGGATCGCACAGGACATCACAGGGCCCCAGATCACCACACCAGATGCCTAGAGACCCCAATAGACCTCACTGAACCCTCGGACCCCCCCCCCCCCCCCCCCCGACTCCACAAGAGTTGCAAGACCTCTTCCCGGTGAAAGATGTTTTCCTGCGGTGGCCACGCCGTCACGGCGCATTGTACTCCCTGTATTCCTCTTCGTCGCCCCCCTCCTCCTTCCACGCATACTCCTTTTCCGTCCAGTCATTTCCAGCCTCTTCCCATGCGCTGCAGAATGCATCCTTGCCTGGCTACGCACTCACGGTGCACCCGCCCTTCAGCCCGAACCTCTCATGCCTGTTGTGGGCGGGGTGGCCCTTAAGCCCTAGCAGTCTGACCCCCACGCCCTTTCGGGTACATGGAGTCGTCCCTTTGAGCCCCTCTCTCCTGCATCCTCGTCTCTTTTTCCGGCTCTTCCTGCTCAGCCCTCGCCATTGCTTCTCCGAGTTCCAGGGTCGCCCACCTCCTCCCGATGCCTCCACCTTTTCCGCTGCTTGGTCGCCCTCCCCCTCGTCATTATCCTTCTGCATGTGTTCTCTCTCCGCTTTCCTGTCCCCCGCCCTCATGCTACTCTCCCTGCTCCATCGCCCTCCCCCTTCCTCCCTCTCTGCTTTCCTGTATCATCGTCATCCTCTGCTCACTTGTCCGCCCCCTCCCTCCTCCAGGCCTCCGCGCCCCTCCTCTGCTCACTTCCCTTTCACATCCCCTCCACACGCTTCTGGCCCGACGGGGCGGCGAACGCATCCACTGGCAACATGTTGTCACCCAGCGAACAGAAGTCTATCAGAACGGCTTTCTCGGATGGCATACTCGGCATTGCTTGTGACAAAGATGTCCTCACGTGTTGGCACCTCATGCTTCCATGTCGCAACTGCATGAGCTACGCTACATACCACGATTCGTTTCATTCCCCATATGCATTTTGGATGGTAGCTGCACGCACAAAACAACATGATCGTGACGTCTTCGTGAATGCAAGCCAAAAACGCAAAACAGGTGGTCGGGACATGCACCACTGGGCCCCCGTCAAAACCCTTCCAGACGCGTTCAACTTTGGAAAATTCACGGACAAGCTTGCCCCTTCAGGCGAACCACGACTTCGGCAAACGGAAGCTCAACCATTTCCACCCCGTTCTGGACACTTCGAGCGCCACCAAACATTATCTCATGATGTCCAACAAAACGTAACCCTTGGTCAACTTGGCACTCTTTGTCACCATGTCCACAGTTTACTTAAACGAAGGGCACTACATGATCACTGCGCTGGCCGTGCACAGTTGGCTCTCTCATCAGAAGACGTCCCGGGCGCAGCTCCTGGGCGACGCCGCCGCCCGGGCGAAACTCCAGAAACGGTTCTTGGACCAGCGCAACACGACGGTTAAAGACGATAAGTTGCCGACGCTACTTTCGGTGGAATCTTACGACGTCCGTCGGTTCTACGACGCATTGTTTATTTGCGAAGGCCTATATGGCCGACAACCAGATACCGGGCACCACATCCCGAGTTTCACAGAAGGCGACGACGACTCCAACCTCGCACCAGACGGATCCGGGACAAAACCACACAGAGTTGCTGTGCGCATGCACCGCATTGCGGAACCCTACGAGAGCACAATGCCCAGCTCAACAAGAGCCCCGTTCTGCTGGTTCAAATCACAAAAACAGTCCATGCCACGCACGCGCAGCGGCTGCCTTATCAGGCACAGCTGGTATACATGCGTTTCTTTCGGACCTCGCTCGGGGCGCGCAATTGGGATCAATCGGTCATATCAGACATTTCTTTCATTGAACACGTTGGAGATGGGAATTTTCATTTCTCGCGGAAGTTGCGCCCAG